GTATGGCCTCAAGTTTCTTGAAGAAGTGAGAGGGATTTGGAGGTACACAGAGGATGAAAGGGAATGGCAAAGTCTGAGCAATCAGAAAGAGGAGCTGACCAAAGCTGGTTAAAGGGCCATCAGTCCTCATTAAGGGCTCAGCTGTGGGTGGAATGCATGACTTTCTATGGTAACTATCTGTGCCGTTTTGTGATTTTTCTCCTTCAGTGCATACCAGTCCCAGCTGAGGAGTGCTCATGTAGAGCTGAGCTTTTCCTAAGTGGGTGCAATGGAAAGGTAGGAGTGTAGGGGACTTAAGAATTTTGAAAATACCGTAAAGTGGGGGGCCGGGGCGGGGGACGGGGGTTGTAGGAAGAGAGTGGTGACTAATGAGCACACTTTTCCCTATACTAGAATTTTTGGTGGCCTGTCCGCTTCTTTCTCTCAGTCTCTCTGCCTGCTCCCCTTTCTCTGAATTTTGCCCTCAAGGTGGGCAAAATTTAATGGAGGACATAGTCTTTCCAAACTGAGTACAATGAATGGTAGATGTGTTTGAGTAGCATTATGTACTAAATGTAAAGACAACATTGAAGAAAGAGCAGTGAACTGCATCAGGGAATTTGGGAAGGCATCACAAGGGGGCTGATATTTGAACTGGGGGTTGAAAGTGTGTGAGCCTTGGGGGATGTAGTGTGGGCGAGCAGTCTAGTCAGGATTGGTAGGATGGGGCGATCCTTCCTGACAGAAACATATTCAAAGAAAGGCACAGTGGTGTGAAAGGACATAGTAAATTTAGGAAATGGTAGGACATGCTGGGCGTGGCGAAGGGGATGGGATGGGTAGGAGGGTGGAGTAGCAGAAATTTGAGCCAGATTGTCACTATTTGGATGTTATTCTATAGCCAAATTGAGAACTGTTGAAGGTTTTTGAATGTTTGTGGTATTAATTTTAATGCTAATGCTAATGTTTATTGAAAGTTTCATTTTCAGGTGCTATGCTAAGCATTTTGTGGTTATCTTATTTAATCTTATTAGGTCCTCACAGTAATCCAATGAAGTAGGTCTTGTTATTATTCCCATTTGCCAAGTGAGGAAACTGAAGATTGAAAGGGTTAGGTAACTGTGATCAAGGTCTCATAGCTAGAAAGTAGCTGGGCTAGAAATCAAGTCCAGGTCTGTCTAATTCTAAATTTATACTTAAAATCTCTCTACTATACTTATGTTTTAGAATAAAGGAATGGGTTATGGGGAGAGTGTAGTTTATCCATTCATTTCCACCTTCCAGTTTTTAGAACTGGATCTTGAGTGATGAGTGAGGTGGGTCAGGAGTGAGGGCCCAGGAGACAGTAGGGGCTGAGGGATGAAGGCTTCCAGGCAGAGGAATAGCATTCAGAAAGACATGGAAGGAATGACAAGTTTAGCCTGGCAAAGTGAGAGAGGATGCTATGGATGAACCAGAAGTAATTCTCATTTTGGGGATGGGTCAGATTCTTATTAGAGTTGTAAGCTCAGTCTTGGTCTCCTCCTTTAAGAGGAATGTGAACCGACTAGAGTGTCTAGAGAAGAGCAAGAAAAATGATTCAAAGTATCAGAGGTACAGGCAGTGGAATGGATGACTCATAACTGTGTCTGTGATAGGAAAGGTTGAGAGAGTATAGGCAGAACTGAAGAGGTGACAATAATGAGGATGAAACCATCTAACATGCATTGAGCACTTACCCTGGGTTAGGTAGGCTTCTCAGTGTTGTACATGTTTTAACTTATTCATTCCTCACAGTGAGCTTCTAAGATAAGTGCTATTATCATCATTCCAGCCAGGGTGAGAAATGGAAGTAACTTGCCAAGTCCACAGAGCTAGCAAGTGATAGGGCTGGGATATGTATCCTGGCTCTACCAGAGGAACTGTTGGTTTTCAGGATGGTGTGTGTGTTTGCTGTCTTTTGAAACCTTGCTGTTCTGTTTGCCTTTGGCCTGCCAGAGGAATCATGGCTTATTGTGGTAGAGAAAGAAGCAGGAAAAATAAAGTCCTGGTGGCTTACTTAAAAAAAAAAAAAAAAAANCCTCTGTTCATCTCTATCTCCTGGAAAGCTGAGCCACTAGACTGCATCAGCCAGGCTCCTTTCCTCTGTCTTCCACTTAGGTTTGGTCAGTGGGAGGCATTGGCGGGAGATTGGAGGGCAGGAGGTGAGAGACATCAGGGTATTTCTTCCCTGATCCCCCCTTTTCTTACTGCCATGGTCTAAAGTGGCTGTGTCCCTCTATGGCTACAGCTTCTATCAGGTGGCCCACAGCTCCATTTCTTACCAAACTCTGGCAACACCATTTCCTCCCTTTGTTTCTTCAGGCTTGGCGGTGGTGGTGGTGGTGGGGGGGGGGTGGTAAGGCCTTGTGCCTTTGATAGCTTCCTTGACTCTGAGAAAAGTCCCTTTGAGAAGTGGCCCATACACTTTTCAAAATCTCAGATGATGTGCCTTCTGTTTCCTGCATGGGCCCTGTCTAATAGAGGGATTGTCCCCGAAGCTCTCGGGCTACGTTGGAAAGGGTGGATGTCCAAAGAAAATCTGTGTGTTGTTAGGAAAGGAGATGAGGGGAATGGATAGAGTTGGCAACAAACAAAAGTTCACTACATTCAATTTGAGATCCTGTGGTGGTGAAATTCAAGGGGGTATATCCAGTAATTGGACACTCAGGCAGGTCATGGCTAGCAATATAGATTGGGGAATCATTAGCCTATTTGCATCTGTTAAATCTATAAAAGTGGATAGGATTGTCCATCAACACAAGGAGAATGTGTTGAATGAAGAACCATGGGATCAGGGTGGAACTAAGGAATACCAGTGCTTAAGGGATAGGTAGGAAAGGAAGTGCCTTAAAAAGAGATTTCATAGGAACTCTCAGAGATGTGGAGTGTGTGTGTGTGTGTGTGTGTGTGTGTGTGTGTGTAACACAATTAGTGTAGAGCTGGTTATAGGATGACTAAGGTGATTCTTTTTTTTGTAGCTGAGCCATCCTGCTACCTGTTGGCAGCTCAGCGGTGGCTCAGCTTGGGCCGGGACTCGAACCTCTGTTGCTCAGAGCTCACACTCTTGAGCGAGCTCTTAACCAACTGAGCCACTCGGCCAGCCCTGAGATTTTGATTCATAACGCTAACCCATATTTCTTAATTAATTTTATTTATTTATTGGAATTTATAAAAAATTTTATTTAATCATAAGTCTAGTGATGTGACTTTTTAAATTAGTTTCAGGTGTACAAAACAATGCAATAGTTATACTTTTCACCCCTCACAAAGTGACAACTGCCCCCCCCATATCATACATATCTATTACAATTCCATTGACTCCATTCCCACACTCTACTCCACATCCCATGACTATATATATATATATTAAATTATAATTGACATACAATATTATTTTAACTTCAGCTTCAGGTGTACAGTGCAGTGGTCAAGCCTCTACACCATGAAGTGGTCTCCTTAACAAGACTCTTCTTTACTTTAAATCAAGGTTGGAAAACTTTTGTAAAGGACCAGAAATAAATGTTTTAGGCTTTATGGGCCACATGGTCTCTTGCTGGAGTAGCACAAAAGAATCTCTAGACAATACATAAGTAAGTCAGCATGGCTATGTTCTAATAAAACTTTTTGTAAATATTGTTGGCTAGATTTGGCCTATGAGCCAGAGTTTGCTGACTTTGTCCTAAGCCAACTGCCTTCTTGACATTGTCTCTTGCTTATATCAAAGGCACCTTAAACCTATCCAAAATAAAACTCATATTCTTTCCTACCAAGCCTGGTACTTGTCTCGTCTTCCCTGTCAGTGAATGGAATCACCAAGAAGAAATCTGAGATCATCCTTGATACCTCTCTTTCTCTAACATTCTACATCCAATCTATCACCAATTCTTGCTGATTTTACTTTATAAGGATTATTGTCTTCCTAGTTCTTTCCCTATCCACTGCCACCAACTTAGTTCAAGCTTTGCTTATTTCTCACTTGACTGTTGTAATGGCCTCCTAAGTAATCTACTTATATTTATTCTTAGCTCCTCCTAATGGTCTTCCCTAGAATAATCTTTTTAAAATGCAGACTTTATCATGTCCATTATCACTCAGTCTCACATTTAATATTTTCCATGGCTTCCTATTACTCTAAGAATAGGGACCCAAATCTCTAAGGTCCTGCATGATCAGGTTCCTGCTTACCTTCTAGTGACATCTCATACTTTTCTGTCATGCTCTTCGTGTTGCAGCCATACTGCCTTCATTTCAGTTCCTTGACTGACTGTACTCCNCTGTTCTCTGGAAGCAGAGAAAGATTGGTCAGAAGAAAGTGCCAACTCTTTGGGGGCAGTGGAGTGTCAAATTTGAATATATGAAGTGGTTGTGGAAAGAGTAAATCTCTAGAGAATTTAAAAGTGATATTTTTACATTTTAGAATGCATTAAGTTGTTTTGTTTTCCTCAACTTAATGCATTCTAAAATGTAAATGGATGTGTGATCCATTAACCAGCTTCAAGAAAGGAAAAAACAAAATAAAACTAGGTAAAACCTTGGGGCAGTTTTATAAAATTCTTTGAATAAAAGTCCCATTCTTTTTTCTTATTCTCATTTTGTTGGTGGTTGAGGCAGTGGTAGCTTCAGGTTACAACCATGTAGCACAGTGGAGTAGGTAGGTTCCTTAGACCACAAATGGCTGACATATTCCGGGAGTGTGCGTGGGTGATGGTGTCTTTTAGCCTGCTGTGGGCTGACCCACTTGTCTCTACTTAATTTAACCACAAGTCTGTATTTGGAAAAATGCTGATGTGACCAGGTTTAAAATTTTTATTCAAGCATTCATTCTATGATCTAATATTGTAAAATGACAAAACTACCCTTGAATGATGCAGATATCTGCTACTTGTCCTTTTGGGCTTGCATGAGAAGATATTTATTGTTATGTTGTTTTTTTTTAATGCGAGCCCTAAAAATGATAATTAGCATCTCTGATTGTTCACTCATCTGTGTAGTCCACCCAAATGAAAACATTTAAGTATTTGGGCTTGCTTTGATTAGGTGTTCACATTGTCCTTTCCTTGGAGATAAAAGTGGATACCCATGTTAAGGGTTATGTTGGAGAAAAGGTCAAATTGAAATGCATTTTCAAGTCCACTTCATCTGTCACTGATAAACTCACCATAGACTGGACATATCGACCACCCAGCAGCAGTCGCACCGAATCAGTAAGTATATATCTTAAAAAAATTTTCTTAAAAAAATTTTCTGTGCGTTTTCTGTGGTCAACAGCTCTGGAATCCTTTCATTCCAAGTCCCAGGCACTCTTTAGGCCTTCTCATCTTAGAATAGAAGATGAGCTTCTACCCTTCATGGCATTCATTTGGTCTTGTAGGGCCTTTTATTCTTCTATGTTAAGAGTTTTGCAAATAATATATAGGAAAAAAAATTGTGAGAAACTCAGATGAAATGTGGTTTAATTTTGTTTCCCCTTTGTTGTTTGTTTTTGCGTGGCTTCATAGCTTTATTTTCAGATTTCATGTATTAAAAAAATGGTACCTCCAGGAATGTTGGATAGAAAAATTCTGTAGGTCATAGACATCCTTTCTCTTAAAGCTGATCGTTTCTTATCATATGAAGTTGTCTCAGTGGGTGTATCTGCTTGTATATCTGTACTCTGTATATTTATCTTCTCCCAGTGTGTAAACGTCTGCATTGATTTATATAGCTCCCTTTGAAGGAAATGCTGGCACCTTGTGTTGATGACAAATGCTGTTAATGACAGATGGTTTTCCAATATTGGAAGCAGTATACTTTAGTCCCACATATAAAACACATTTATGATTCAAATTCCATTGTGGATGTCTAATTGAAGATTGCAGTGCTATAAAAATAAACAAAGGGCTGGCCGAGTGGCGCGATGGTTAAGAACTGGCTTGGGACGCCAGAGGGCCCCGGTTCGGATCCCACATATAAGGGCCAGTGACACTGCCCTCTACAGCTAAGATGGTGAACAACAGCTCAACCTGGAGCTGGGCTGCCGAGAGTCGCCAGCAACGGCGTAGGCTGCAGCCCCTGTGGCAGTGGGTTGCCATGGGCTACCGTGTGTAGCCAGCAGCCAGCGTGAGCGGCCAGCAGCCGCCGCCGTGAGCAGTAGTTCAGAAGCCGGCGACTGATCTGCCTCACCCGGGAAGAGCGCAATGATGGTGCCAACTTGGGCCAGTGAAGCAACAGACTCCACAACTAGACTGAAGAACAAAAGGACAGCAACTTGTCTGTTCCCATTCCCCCAATTCCCCAGCGCTGTTCCCATCCCCCAATTCCCCAATAAAAATCTTTAAAAAACAAAAAACAAAAAACAACCCAAAAAACTTTCTATGCTTCCAGAAGTATCCTTAGCTCAGGATAGATGCTGTCAAGAATGTGAATGTCATAGCTGTATGTAAGATTATATTTTGAAAGCATCCTTAATTTGTTTTTCCTGTTTCCTTCATTGCCAAAACTTGCGCTTTGATTTTAACGTATATCTTTGAATTTTGTTTTAGGAGCCATTATTGAATGCCACGTAGTTTCTAGGTAGGTAGCTCCAGTGAAGGCAGCGAGGCTGTATCTGTGGTCCTTTTTTCTTTAGACTTAAAATAGTTCACTTATTTTGAGTGGTTGAAAACTATGACTGGCCTTATTTGGCTCTGCCTCCTTGGTCAAAAGTAGGACAGGGCAAGCAATGGAGATTTTCTTGCATCAGAAACCTTAAATGCAAACAGCAAGTAGTTCTCGTATGGTGCTGTTCTCTGTGAGGCTGGTCAGAAATTTGGCTAACCCAAGTAGGCATCAGTGGGCCTTTAAAGTCACAACATGATGTTTCAATTACATGGTCAGGGTTCTGCCAGACTAATCAGTTAGGAAGGATTTGAGTATCACTAATTTAATTTGAAAGTAGAGGTTGGATTAATCTTGAAGATACACAGCAGGTCTTGTTTTGTCAATAAGGAATTTCAAACCCCTTTATGTTGATGCTAATTATCAGTGGTAGGCATTCTTTACCTCCCTCTTTGGAATACACATTACACATATTATTATTATTTTAATATCTGTATTTCCCACCAGACTGTAAATTCTAGGAGAGCAGGGACTGTGCTTGTTTGGCTCCCACTATATCCTTTTGCTTAACATAGTGCCTATCATGTAGTGGGCATGCAGTAAATATTTAATGAATGAATGCATAAACAAATGAACCAATAAGTGATTCAGCATCTTCTTTGGGAAGTTGCTCTTCAAAATTGGGCAATTGTCCCCTAAGTGGGGAAGTACCAAGTAAACAAAGAAAGAGGAAAGCCTTGACTCTTGCATAAGAGAGATCATATTGTATTGTAGTACCTGTTCAGCCTACCACCAGATGTAACTTGGTGCTTGCCAATGAAGTGTCTGATTACCCATGTGAAGCAGCATTGTTGTGATTCAGCATACATTCACTGAGTGCTGGTCATGCGTTTGACGTGAGGTTTTTATTAATTGCCAAGGTGGCTAACTTGGGAAAGGCTTGATTATATTATACCCTCCTGGTGATTTTGAGAAGAAACAAAAATCTCTCCTTTCCCACTTACTTGCTTATGCACTTTTGAGTAACTCATTTAGTTTTTTGGTTTTGCCCCATGTGTAGTCTCTGAGGCTCAAATGAGTAAATGTGTGGAAGTCATTTGCAAACCATACAGCACTATACAAATATTAGATACTACTTTAGAATAGGGCTTCTCAACTTTGGCACTGTTGACTTGTTGATCTGGGTAATTCTTGGTTGTGGGGCTGTCCTGTGCATTTTAGGATTTTTAGCAACATCCCTGGCCTCTACCCACTAGATGCCAGTAACACTCCCCCTAGTTGTGACAACCACAGATGTCTGCAGATATTGCCAAATGTCTCCTGGAGGGCAAAAGTGCCTCCAAAAGGGTCCAGCCCGACCCTCCATCCCATCAAGAACTACTGCTTTAGGACTTTAAGGAGCATTTAGAAGAGGTTCAAGAGTTAGGATGCCAGGATTCTTTCATCAGCCCTTTTTCTGATGTTTGATTAACCTGTCTTTTAACCTATAGAATCGAGGTGAACAAAGCATAAAAAAAATATCCAACTGAGAAAACCCAGTATACATTTGTATTGTATTTTAGATCTATTTAGCTTTATATTTTCATAGCATTTTCCAAATTAACTTTTTTTTCTCATGGTGTTGCTTTCTTAGATTTTTCATTATCAGTCCTTCCAGTACCCAACCACAGCAGGCACATTTCGAGATCGAATTTCCTGGGTTGGAGATGTATACAAAGGGGATGCATCCATAAGCATTAACAACCCTACCATAAAGGACAATGGAACATTCAGCTGTGCTGTGAAGAATCCCCCAGACGTGCACCATAATATTCCCATGACAGAGCTAATAGTCACAGAAAGGGGTAAGCTAACTGCTACCAACCTTCTTCTGCAGTGCTTGGTGACTACTATGGTACTTTTTGGAGAGATCAGTGATAAGCAAAGCTACCTATCTTTGTAAGCCAGTTGGTCATTGGAGCATTCTGCCATCTTGCATTGTCTATTAGGATGAATCTTTGTGAGGGTTTTTTATTAGTCTCAGGTGTACAACACAGTGCAATAGTTATACTTTTTACCCCTCAAAGTGACAACCCCCTAGGATGAATCTTTTAATCTTTATTTTGCAAATTGAAGTTTTTCTTCAAATATTGTCATAGTTTTTCTATTATCCTTTTTTGTTTTTTAAACTTTAGGTGACCAGAGATCTTGTGGGATGTATGACAAATCCTTGCATAAATGGAGGGTTATTATCTGTGTGAAATATGTGTCATTTTGGTTTCCCTAGTATGTTCATGCCCTCAGTTATGAGACAGTGATCTTGCCTGTGTCTTGAAAAGGTACCCCCTCTAATGATGGAGGCAGCACATTTCTTTTGTGTTGCAAAGAACAAGTTTCCTTTTAGTATGATGAAACAAGGATAGTAGGTTAAGGACTGGCCTTTTTTTTTCTACATTATTTCCTGGTGACTACTGAGTGGTCATTTTAGTTCTTAGTTGGATTTGAACTAAAGACTTAAAGATACAGGACTGCATTATGGTCTTTTTTTTATGACCATAAATCATAAGTTTCAAAGATATGGGAACATTTATACTCCTGGTGAGAGCAGAAACTGATATAGTTTTTCTGGAAGACAGTTGGTAATATGAAACAGATGCCCTAAAAGTATACACCCTGTGATCTAGTAATTCCATTTAAAAAATGTATCTAAAAGAAACAGAGCTAAACATGAAGATTTATGTACAAAGATGATCATCATAATATAATTCATAAATCCAAAGAAATGCAAGTGACTTGAATGTCCAGCATTAGAGAATTGATTCAATAAACTACTCAGCATGGTAGAATACTATGCAGCCATTAAAAAATCATATCTGGAAGAAACTTTAATGACATGGAAAATACTTATATTAAGAAAAAAAGGTTAGAAATATTATGTAAAATATAATTCATACTTTAAACAGTATACATTCTTCTCCCTATATGCAGACCCATATTCACATATGCCTAGAAAGAAGAGTGAATAGGTAGATACTAACATGTTAATCCTAGGTAGGAGGATTATGGGCAAATTTGTATTCTTTTTTTGTGTGTGTATTTTCGACCTTTTCTACATTGAATTTATTCCTTTTGTAATGAGAATAAATACAAGAGCAAAAGCAAAACCTATCTCATGTCAAAGGAAACACTTTTGCATGTTCCTCTCTTTTACCTTCTCTTTTTCCTTCTCTAGGTTTTGGCACCATGCTCTCCTCTGTGGGCCTTCTTTCCATTCTTGTCTTCATTCCCTCAACTGTGGTGGTGGTTCTGCTGCTGGTGAGAATGGGGAGGAAGTCTGCAGGGCTGCCGAAGAGGAGCAAGTCTGGCTATAAGAAGTCGTCTATTGAGGTTTCGGATGAGTAAGTCCAGCTGGAGCCCTGAGCAGTAAACCCATTTCTTCTTCAGAGTCCTGCTTTGTGGATAGGACCCAGGCCCCTGCGTCCGTGCCTTCCTTTCTTCTGGGCTGAATTTAGTTCTGGTGAAATTTCCTTTTGAAGAGAATAGTTCTGCTGAGCAGTCCTAGAAGGAAGGTTGAAAGTGAAATCTGTGAATATTAATTTGGAGAGAGATGGAGGGGTTGATAGTATGGTTTTAGTTTCCTGCTTTGGAAATCAGATTGTACGATATTATGGTTCTCAATATAAATTCTGAAGTGGAAATCTCATTCCTTCAAAATTAACAGGAAATTCTAACAAGTCACATTGTTTCCTACAGTTTCTTCTCATTTGCTCCACATTCCAGCTACAGTGAGCTTATTTTCTTATCTAAACATACTGTGCTCATTCACGTCTTCTGCCCACCCCACCCCCCACCCGCATTCTCATACCTGGAATCCCCTTTCTCTCTCCCTTTTTTGCCTGGCATACTCTTCTGTATCTTCCAAGACCCAGCTGAAATGTCACCTTCTCTTGAGTTTCCTGAGTCATACAGGGAAAATTAGTCACTCCCTCCTCTTTGCTACAATAGCAATTTGACCTTAACTCCATTAAAACATTTATCACATTGTATTATAAGGGACTTGTTAAAGTTTTAGCAGGTATCTCACCCCCGTGAGACTGGCACTCTTCAAGGGGATGTACTTTATTTATGTCTTTATCCCCAGCCCAGCACAATGCCTCAGCCATGGTTAGTGCTCAGTACATTTCTAAAAGAATGATTGTGACTAGTTCCTATTTATTGAGCACTTACTATGTGCCAGGTACTGTGATACATGTTTTGCATGTGTTTATTTTTTATTGACTCCTAACCACTATCTTTTAAGTGTAGCTGGTAATATTTGCATTTTACAGATGAGGAAACAGGCTCCTGGAGCTTAAGTAATTTGCCCAGTCACCCTGTTAGTAAGTGGCAAAACTGGAATTTAGAACGAGACCTGTCTGATTTCAATGCCTGTGCTCTTAGCTGCTCTACTATACTGAGTTAGGGATTGTTCTGATTTGGTTTGTCCTCTTTCTACAGCACTGATCAAGAGGAGGATGACTGCATGGCAAGAGTTTGTGTCCGTTGTGCCGAGTGCTTGGTAAGCCCATGCCATTTCGTCTGTTCCCTGTTCATGTTTCACTTTTTTGCTTACTTATGGGGATCCTTTGCCCTCAGAGGCAGCAGAGAGTAGGTCCAAAGCATGGTATCAGCCAAGGTCTTCTTCCAAAGCATTTTGGTCTCTAAGCATTATCTTATTTGCTGTCTCATGGGCACAGAATGGTGTCATGAAGTTAGGGAAGGGGGACTGTGCAGAGCAGTGTCTGCTGCAGAGAACATCCTTAAAGAGGAGTGTCCTGTGCTACTGGGGTCATACTAGGAGACCTTGACTGGCTGGACCCAGAGCCTTGAACTGAACTTTTCTGCAGAGCCTCAGTTCCACCCCCCTCCCCCGCCCCCACCCCAGGGAATTAGAATGATATAACCTTTTAATTTTAAGTCACTTGCTGGCTTTGTCAATAAGAAATACTCAGGTTGGAAAGCCTGAAGTTGTATTTAAATTTTGTGAGGCCGTCATCCCTCCCCTTTTGCGCACCTGCTGTGACTGGTAGGCTTGTGTGGCTGTCCCGGTGATCCTAGGAGGAGGAAAGACTCTCTGATGTGGTACAGTTGGAAACAGGTCAAAAGCAAATTATGATCTAATATGAAGCATGCGTGTTATTTTAGGGTTTAAACTTGAGCCCTGTTTGTAATTATTGCCAAGCTCAGCACTTGGCCAGGTGACCACAGCCCAATAGTGTTCTTTGTTTCTCTTTCTCGCATGCACTTGAGTACAATAGGTAAGACGAGAGAAAGGCTAATAGTGCTAATGGAAAGGATCTAATATCACCTTTTAAGGTTTGAATTTTTTTTTTTTTAAGATTTTATTGGGGAATTGGGAGAGGGAACAGCATTGGGGAATCAGGGAAGGGGAACAGCCAAGTTGCTGTTCTTTTGTTTTTCAGTCTAGTTGTGGAGGACGTTGCTTCACTGGCCCAAGTTGGTATTGTGATCACTGTGCTCTTCCTGGCTGAGGCAGATCGGTCACCGGCCATTGGACAGCCGTTCACGGTGGCTGACGGCAGCTCACGCTGGCTGCCAGCCACTCACGGTAGCCCACGGCAGCCCACTGCAGTTCCACTGCAGCCTACGCCATCTCCGGCAACTCACGGCAGTCCAGTTCCAAGTTGAGCTGTTGTTCACCATCTTAGCTGTAGAGAGCGCAGCATCACTGGCCCATGTGGGATCCGAATTGGAGGCCCCGCTGCTCAGAGTTCGCGCTCCCAAGCCGACTCTTAACCAGCGAGCCACTAAGCCAGCCCAGGGTTTGAATATTTTGATAATGCAAGATAAGTTAATGTCTGTAAGATTATTATCCACATTTGAGATATTAATTCATTCAACGTTATTCACTAAGCATCTGCCATGTGCTAGATATGATTCTAGGTACTTAGGGAACAGCAGTGAACAAAACTGACAAACTGCTATCAAAGAACTTACACTCTTCCCATTTCTGGAAAACTCATTCTCCAAGACCCAGCGGAAATGTCACCTACTATTAAATTGGGGTACAAAAAATAACTAAATAAAAAGAATAAGTAAAGTATACAGTATACCATACGGTGCTTAATGCTTTAGAGAAAAATAAAATAGGAAAGGGAGGTGGGATGGCTAGATAGGGGGTATGATATTAAATAGGCATGTCAGGAATACCCTCATTGAAATGATTTTTAAGCAAACACCTAAAAGAAGTAGATAGCAAGCCTTATGTCTAATGTAGAGGAACATTTCAGGCAAATAAATGGTAGGTGCAAAGACACTGAGGAGGGGCCATGATTGGCATGTTCTAGGAACAGCATGGAGGCCAATGTAGTGGGAATGAAGTGAGCAAGGTGAAGAATAGTATTTCTTCAGAGAAATAATGTCATATCTTATAGAGCGTTATAGTGATTGTAATGACCTGGACTTTTATTTATTTATTTTTTAAGTTTCAGGTGTACAAAACGACATAGTGATTAGGCATTTATATACCTCACAAAGTGATAACGCCAATAAGTCTGTTACCCATTTGACACTGCACATAGTTATTACAGTATTATTGACTGTATTCCCCATGCTGTACTTTACATCCCCATGACTACTTTGTAACTATCAATTTGTGCTTCTTAATCCCTTTACCTTTCTCACCCAGCCCTCTGACCCCCTCCCACCTATTAACCAACAATTTGTTCTCTGTATCTATGAGTCTGTTTCTGTTTTGTTTGTTCATTTATTTTGTTCTTTATTTTCCACATATAAGTGAGATCATATGGTATTTGTCTTTCTCAGTCTGACTTAATTCACTTAGCATAATACCCTGTAGGTCCATCCATGTTGTTGCAAGTGGTAAGACTTTATTCCTTTTTATGGCAGAGTAATCTTCTACTGTATATATGTACCACAATTTCTTTATTCAGTTGTGTATTGATGAGCATTTCGGTTGTTTCCATATCTTGGCTATTATAAATAGTGCTGCAGTGGACATAGGGGTGCATATGTCTTTTTGAATTAGTGTTTTGGATTTCTTTAGATAAATACCAGGAGTGGAATTTATGGGTCATAAGGTAGTTCTACTTTTTATTTTTTGAGGAACCTCCATGCTGTTTACCATAGTCGCTGCACCAATTTGCAATCCGACCAAAGGTGCACCAGGGTTCCCTTTTCTCCACATCCTCACCAACACTTGTTGTTTGTTGATTTATTGATAATGGCCATTCTGACAAGCGTGAGGTGGTATCTCATTTGATATCAGGTAGCATGCAACCTCCAGCTTTGTTCTTTTTTTCTCAAGATTGGCGTGGCTATTTGGGGTCTTTTGTGGTTCTATATAAATTTTAGGATTATTTGTTCTATAATAGTTCTGTGAAAAATGCCATTGGTGTTTTGATAGGGATTGCATTGAATCTATAGATTGCTTTGGGTAGTATGGACATTTTAACTGTATTAATTCTTCCTATTCATGAGCATGGTATATACTTCCATTTATTTGTATCTTCTTTAATTTTCTCTTCAATCAATGTCTTATAATTTTCTGAGAGGACATTTATTCTTAATGAAACAGAATCCACGGGAGGTTTTTGACAAGAGAAGCACTATGAACTGATGAATGTGTTAAAAGGATCTTACTGGCTTCTGTGTTGAAAATACGTGGTAAGGGACCTTGACAGAATTAGAGAACTCAATTAGGAGACTTTAGCAATAATGCCAGTGAGAAGATAGCGTTAGCTTGGATCAGGGTGGTGGTGGTGGTACAGGTGACGAGATGTGGTTGTATTCTGATTATAATTTGAAGGTAATGCCAGAAGGATTTACTGATGGGTTGCATGTATACAAGTATGTTAAAGAATGAGAGGAGTCAAGGATAATTACAAGATTCTTGACTTGAGCAACTAGTAGATTAGAGTTGCCTTTTTCTAATATGTACAAGTCTGTGGGTAGAACATGTTTTAAGAGGAAGATCAGGAGCTGAGTTTGGATATATTAAGTTTGAAATACTTATTAAATATTCAAATGGAGATGTGGAATAGGCAAGTGGTTATGTGGATGTGGAGTTCAGAAGAGAGGTTTAGACAGGCGATATACATTTATGAGCCATTCATAGATAGAGACCGGTAGAGCTATTTTTAGCAGGGAAATGAGTGTACGTAGAGAAGAAGTAAAAGGATTGAGCCCTGGAGCTCTCCAAAATTGATAGATTGGGGAGATGAAGGATAATTAGCAAAGGAGGCTAAGAAGGAATGTCCAGCGAGGTAGGAGGAAAACCAGGAGAGTATGGTCTCCTGGGAGCCAAGTGAAGAAAGCGTTTTAGGGAGAAGAGAATGATTGTGCCAATTCCTGCTGAGTCCGGTTGAGTAAAATGAGAACTGAGCATTGATTATTGGATGATCTGGTAATGTGGAGGTTACTGGTGACCTTGGCAAAACCAGCTTCAGTGGGATAGTGGGAATAAAAGCTGGACTGGGATAAGGTTAAGAAAGAATACAAAGAAATTTATTGGTGACAGTGGGTGTAAACAACTCTTTCAAGGAGTTTTTCTGTGGAGGGATGCAAAGAAATAGGGCAATTGGTAAGGAGGCGTGTGTTAAGAGTTTCTTTTTAAGATGGGAAAAATTACAGCACATTTGTAGGCCATGGTAAATGAGTCAGTAGAGAAGGAAAAATAGATACTGCAGAAGAGAGAGGTGAGGATAGCTTGAGTGGCTCCAGGATCTAGTGGACAAGTGAAGAGGTTGGACTTACTTGAAGGCAGGGAGAGTGTATCCATAAGAAGAGTAAGGAAGGCTAAGCAGATGGGCCTAGATGCAGGTGAGTGGGTAAATATGATGATGGGAGCTTGTGGAAGTTCCCTACTGACTGTGTCTCTGTTCCCATTAGGGGAGAAAGCAAGATCGTCAGCTGAGAATAAAGTGTGGAGAATTTGGAGATTTGAGGAAAGAGGGGAAGGTATGAAATAGTCATCTAGGAGACAGGAGAATAAATGGACTAGAGCAAAGTGGCGTGCCAGGTAGTGCCAATGGCCCACTTGAAGTTCGAAGCAATAAGTAGAGGTTTGAATAATAAAAATAAGAATAATGGTAACAGTCGTTAATCTTGAACGCTTACAAAGATCCAGGCACAGTGTTAAGTGATTTACATACTTTGTCTCTTTCAATTCTCATAGCTGTTCTATGAGGCATCAGTATTTTTACTATCCCCATTTTACAGATGAGGAAACTGAAGCTTAGGTAAGTTAAATAATTTTGCTCAAGGTCACACAGCCAGCAATAGATTGGAACTCAGAGGTAGACTGACTCCTAGCCTAAACTCCAAGCTATAGTCCTGTACATTCTGCAGCAGACAGTCACCTTTTTATGAGTGTTGCGGTTCTAAAAAATATTCACCAAGGAAAGGGGAACCCTTAGGGTTTCAAAGCAGAAATTTGCCCATTAGACACCAGTTAAATTGAAGTCCCGTGATATCTTATGGGAATTCAGGTGTATTGAGTCAGTGCCATTCACTGTTGATGTTGCCCCAAGCTAGGTTCCATTTGGGGGATGGCCTTTGACTAAATTCTGACTGTGTCATTATACTTCACATACACACCACAACTACTGTTCTTTCCCCTCCAGGATTCAGACTATGAAGAGACATATTGATGAAAACCTGCAGGACATAAGAAGAATCAACTAATAACAGAAAATATCCCATTTCACTGGCAGCTAAAGCCTCTCAGAGAAGTGGAGCTGGCCTGGACAGCAGTGATGGAGGTTTCTGGATGTCATCAATAAAGACTTTAGGAACCATTTATTTATTGAAGAAATGTCCTTTTTGTATTTATAAACTGTTCAAAAACTTTCAGAAGAGACTCATAACTACCCCTTTTAATAACTTATACTCTAATTGAATGAAGGAATTCTTTTCCTGAATAGAAAGATACTTTTTATTTCACCTTTGTTCTTGAATGTGTTATATGTTTTCTTCCAATTATTTGAGGAAGAATCCTAAATATTGGCCACACTGCTGATGCCAAACTTTTTTTTTTTTTTTTTTTAATGAATTGGAGCTTGTAGCTTCTTGATGTGCTTGCTACCAGATAAAATGTTTGTTTGGAATAAGAATTGTTTTTTGCTCCATTAACATTTTCAGCTGTGAGTTAGCACACAGCATATACTCATTGGTTTAATTATCTCATCATTAATTATGTTTGAGTTACTTGGAGTGTATAACACTAATTTCCCTAGAGTTGGTAGGATCAGGAATCAGTGGTTTGTTTGATTGGGTTTTTAAAGTATTAAAGTGTCAGCAATTTATAATTAAGGAAAGGTATGGTGAGGCACAGGGAGTCCTTTCTTTTGTTTTGCCTGGTGCAATTTGTTACTTTAGTACTTCCTTACAGCTGACTGATTTATGGTTTCCTTCTTGACTTTTCAGATCAGAGGCAAGAAAAACTCTTCAAAAGATTTTGTATGGATGTATAGACTATTTTGCTAGTTATTTGCAATGAAATACTCTTTTAACCTGTATTCTTCTTCATTTTTTTGACTCTAAAATGCACCAAATATGAGGGAACTGAGGTATTTACAAACTATTTTTGTATAATGCTTGAGATAAGGAAGTGATGTTGTGCATAACCTATACCTCTCCTTTCTGGTCTCTCAGTACCTTATTTATCAGCTTCCTTCATTTTCCTACTGCAACATATTTCAAATTTTGATTTCTATGGGAATTTCTATAAGCCATTAAGAAATATGTATGACATGTCAGGAAGGGTTGACAACGTAGTCTTCTGTAATAAAGTGATAGGGTTCACTTCTCAATTAGGAGAGACAAAATTATCCCCTCCCCTCATATTTGTTTTTTTACTAGGATAGTCCCTTTCCATAGTTCTTCAATAGGTGGCTCAAGAGGTTTCCATATTATAGCATTATACACCATATATGTTACAAAAAACCACTTCTACATTTTTTTTTTTGCCAAGATCTATTTTTAAAAATTTGGATTGTTAGCTCTGTCTCATGGATTTGCCCTGGCCTCTTTTGTTAACCTAGTCCATAGATTAGAGAGTCTGATTAGTTAATAGATCTGACTTACCTCTAGTCATGAAAAAGAGTAGAAGAGGCAAGACAGGATTCGCAGCTTACATTTCCAGTGGTTAAACCTCACCGTCTTGGGCTACTTGTTAAGTATGTGGTTGTCTGGCGCCAATCTATTGGGCCAATCTGGCACCTCAACAGAGAGAAGAAAACAGTTTGAGCGATGAGAATAAATAAATTGGGTGCTAGGAGATTTGAAGATAGAGATCTAATTGTGAAGCAGCCTTTTTTTTGGGTCCCCCTTTCTCTAAGAGATGATGTTACAGGAACCAGTTAAAGCCACATCCCATTAAATGAGGAACCGGTTTTAGCTGGGCTTGCTTGTAATTCCCTTTTGGGCATGTTTTGATCATTAATCCTGTGTGGTATTTTGTCACTTTAGGCAAATGGTGCTGTGTGAATCCTTAGTAGTGTTATTTTGTAGACTTGATCATGATTTGAACCAGTCCTTTTAAAATGACTGAACAATAGAGTCCTTCATGGGAAGAGAGTAAGTTGATAATTCAGTCTTGCTCCATGGGTTTGTGTTCACGTCACAGCCATAAGGCTGCTATCAGTTTTCTTCTTCATCCCTTATATTGAGGTCTGGGTTACAGCTCTTCTTCAAAGGAGCACAAAGCAGTGTTTGGACACCTGCTTTCTCGAAGGATGGAAGGAAGATAGCGTGTTGTTTTTTTTAACCCACTGTTTTAATATCTTTTAAGGTGCTGTTCTCTATTTTTCTTTTTGCTGCTCCACGAGCTCTTATCACACTGTATGGAGACCAGCCTTGTCTAGAAAGGGAATTTAATTCTGAAGGCTTCAAGAAGGGCTTAAAAGCCTTTCAGAATTTGTCTTTGTCTTTACTTGTGGTTACTATGTTCCTTTATGAATTTTGTGTATCGAGCTCTTAATTCTGTTACCAAATGTGAACTTACACAAAATGCTTTGTGTTTCCCACATGGCCTGTTACGTCAGGCTTCTTGGGGAACAGCTACTCTGCAGCTCCCAAATTGGGCACTGGTGCTTCAAGAGGGAACGTTGTATGTCCCTGCTTTAAAAACATTCTGGAGGCCAAATCCTGAATCTGAATGTTCTGTTGTGTCAGTCAGTTATGGTTTTAAACGGGAGCGGTAAAAAGATCCATAGGGAATGGATCAAGAGTATCATTTAATTGCACAACTCAAAACTTTCTGCCAGAAAAGGCAGCTCCATTCCTTTGACCCCAGTGTTGTGCTGCTCGATTGTTAATTGCTGCATTTCACTGCGGGTTTGTTTGTTTGTTTGTTTGTTTGTTTTATCTAGGAGGATATGCACTGTTGGGCTATGTTCACAGACATAGTAACTCTTGATATCTTTACCACATCATAATTAATAAACTTCTTTGCACTTTCTGGCTACTTTTGGTGTATATCTACATATAAGATAAGAGCTGTCATATGAAAAGAGGTTTGTGGTTTTCAGCATCAAGCAATGATTCATTCGCCTCGGAACTGTACCCCAGCAAGAACCTGCATAGAATCAGTAGTGTACTGGAGCTAGCTCACACAGCAAGAGCTGATTGTTAAATATTTAGGAATTTTGCAATTCTTGATTGTTAAACCATTGCTAGCTTGAAATGTGCCATGGTGGGAGTATTTGCTTAAATTGCTGGCTTACTAGCGCACCACTTCTCAAGAATCATGGAGCATAGTCTTTGAGAAGAGTAAGCATTCAACAACTTTTCAGATGATACAGGTCAAGTTGCAAAAAACAAGCATGCCCATGTATAGGTCAAGCCAGTCCGGCCAAGGTTAAAGGCGTGCACACTGAGACCACTTATTTTGAAGTGGTGACTTAAAAGCAAAAGATACCTTGAAGTAAAGAAGCCTTGAGTTCTTATTTAGGATGTCCAGGTCACCTAAGGGATTCTCTGGGGGAATAAAATGCTACCTATATTCTGGAAATGCTGATTCACACTGTCATAGGAAATTGACATGTCTAGGTGATGAGTTGGAGGACTAGGGAGGCATATCGTTGGAAGCAGGAATTGGGGGATTGCCTGGCTCTATTGCACCTCTGTGTTGAGAGAGAAAATTAAGAGAGGTTGCTATATTTTAAACACAGGGCACACACAATGTTTTGTGTTAATCTTAAACTTATTATATTTTGTTTGCATGAGGCTGATTTCTTAGCAAATATTTCCCTGATGCCACTGAAGATCCCACTCGCAGAGAGCTTGTAGTCTAGAAGGGGAGATGATGCCTGCAGAGATCTGGGATATGAGGTTCTTCTCAGTAAGTTGAATTTATTACCTCTTTTTACAATGAAAGTAATAAAGACTGAGTAATGGGCAAGATGACTGAAACGTAAACCTTAGTTTAGAGGTTCCTGTTTGTGTCTCTGCAGCTACCTCAGAACACGCATTTGGTTTGCTCTCAGCCTGACCCTTGCTGGCAGAAGTCAACTGCAGTCGGACTTGAGAACTGCAGTTGTCGGAGAGTTCAGTGCATTGCTTTTCCTGGGCACTCCTCATCTTGGGTAAGCAGTCACTTTGTATTTCTTAAGTATTTCTTAATTTGAACTTTTCTCTCTCAGAAAAAGGCTGATTCTGAAAGTTTTTATTTAATGGCAATACTTTTGTATCATGAGACCACAATCACAGAGCTCTCAGTCTCTGCAAGAGGACTATCATAAGGTAGTCTAGGGGGTGCAGTTTTCATTTCTGTAGTGTAGAGTAACTTATGATCCTCAGAGAAAAGAGGAGTAAGGTTTGCTGTTAATAAAAGAGTAAATGATGATAATGATGATGTTGATCATGATAAGGCTTTAGCTTTTCATTTGCCTGTGGCTTCAGGTAGAGCTGTGACTAGCAGTCCTTGAGCTCATGACAAGGTTTATCCTTCGCTGTTTCTCTTCTCTCGATCCTAGATAGGCTAATACTTAACTTTAAGAAGTGAGAAACTTAAACCTTCTACTAGAGCTAGGCTATAGTCCATACTTGTCATACTCTCTGCACAGCCCTGATCTCAGGAAAGAGTGATGTAGGATGGTTTAGGTATAACCTGGTCAGAAGGAGTGAGCAGGAGGATTGACTTCCAAGGTCATCTTCAAGTAGAGAGTTGACCGATGTAACCTAGACTGTTACAAGAAGCCATGTAACCTACCAGTCTGCATTAATTGGTCTTGGAAAGAAAAACGAGGATATATTTTAAGGAGTTCATGCTTCAGAAAGGTTATATGGACTTGTATACCTAAAAACCTCTGAGACTCCGGAGGTAGACAGCCATGTGTAAATTGAGGGAACATAGAAGCACTCTAGGTGGAACAGGCTGTGTGAGTAAGGGAAGGCTATGCAGTTGTGTTTGCTCAGTGATTGGTTGTCCTTACTAGGGGCAAACGCTTTTCTGAGACAGCACCTCTCTCTTATTTTGTCTTGTAATATTGTAATATGTGAGGGTCATTTTCACGTTCTGTGTGGTGGTCTCATTATCAAGAGTCTCTTTTCTGAAGACTTTTTCCTGTTATAATTGTGCCTGTTACAATTGTGTCATAATTGTAACAATTCCCCTACATGATTAATAATAGGAAAGTGAATCCTGATAGTTACAGCTCCCCAGGAGTGATAGAAGATATTTTCCAGGAATTATTTTGTGAAAGAGCCATGAGCTCCGGTCAAAACGTTTGGCTGACATATGAGATAACTTATTATGTATTATAGATTATCTCAAGAATGTCTGCTGAGGAGATAATTCAGTACGTGAAGAAGGAAGCAGGGTAGAAGTTGAGAATTTAAATAGAGTCTATTATTATCAAGGTGCAGCTGAAATCTTTGGTTGTATTTTTAAAGACAGATTCATTTTATATACAGTAGGTCCCCACTTAATGTTGTCGATAAGTTTTTGGAAACCGTGACTTTAAAGGAAACAACATATACCCAAACTGATTTTACTATAGACTAATTGATATAAACAAGAGGAATTTCTGAATATTTGCCAACCAACTAGGAAATGAAAAGTGAAACTTGACTAGAGGTTTTTGCTCTGTAAGGTGTAATTGACTCATGTGACAGATGGTTGCTGGGTTCAGCCTGGGCCTTACTCCGTGCTGGCACTAGCGATGCAGTGGCACATAGGCACAGACAGCTCTTGGCCTCATGGAGCTTACAGCCTTGGAGGGGTTCGGGTGGAGAGCAAGACTAATCAAACAAGCGCACAAGTAAATAGATAACTAGAAATGATGACAAATGCCCTAAAGGAAAGATAAATAGTACATTAAAACATGTGCGTAGGCATCTGACCTAGGAAGGATAATTCAGAAGAGGAAATGACATTTAACTTGAGCTCTAAAAGATGAACAGGAGTTAATTAGGTGAATGGGGTAGGAAGACCATTTAGTTAGGGGGAGCAGATTAATCTTGTTTTTACAAATGAAGTTCAGAGACGCTTTCCCCTAAAACATTGATTACCTTCACAAACATGGAGGAGCGGTACAGTGTAGTAAGGAGACAGGCTGTGATCCAGAATGCCTAGATTTGAATCCTGGCTCTGCCACTTGGTGTGTGTTATTAGGCAATTCTCTTCACCAATCTGTGCCTTAGTTTCCCTTTCTGTAAAATCTCATAGGGTTGTTGTGAGAATTGAATGGGTTTAATATATAAAGCACTCAGTACCTGGCATATAACCTTGTCTGGTCCAATCCTTTAATGTTGAGGATAAGGCCCTGGTAGATTGAGTGATTTCCCAAAGATCAAAGAATCAGTTAATGGAAGGTCTTACTTACCTGGGAAGAGAATTTTCTAAACATTCAATTCATTGCTTTTTAAAAAATTAAATCATTGCCGATTTACTCATTCACACAGTTCTAATGGTGCATTTGTGTACTTGGAACTGGAAATGGGTATCTTTTATTCATCGATTGTTTATACATTTCTTAGAATGTGTTTGAAAATGGTTTGGGTGTGGCTCTGAGTCACTGAACTTGAGTTTGGTGACTAGATTCAGTCTTTTAGGGTCGCTGGTTTCCTCTTAGAATAGAGTGGTGTAGTTGCAGGATATCAAAGTTGATTTTAATTTGATGGTCATATTGGCAGCTATCAGCATTTATCCAGTATATGCCAGGTACTTTACTGGTACTGTAGCACAGGCATGGGACACGTAAATAAGACATGTATGACCCTGCACTTGAGAATGAAGACTTAATGGGGCTTGGTGTTAGACATGCAAATCAATTATTACTTCTTCATGTAAATGGTGCACTGTCTGAGGAATGTATGAGAGCTGTTTGCTGGGCAGAGGAGGGAGCACAATCAACTCCTGGAGAAGAATTCATCCAGAACGTGAGAGGGATCTCAGAGGTCCCAGATACGATGTATTCAAGTTATCACATGCTATAAAGGTAGCCCTTTATCATGCTTACCCATGTATGTGTGGGGTGAGGTGGGAGTCATGGAACAGGAATAGCACCATGGCTATCCTGAGAGAGAGCTGTGTTTTCATAAGATGTATTTATGTTTGGGGAAAGTTCATGTAACTTTTGGTATATCTGAGTCAGTGTAGTTACTATTTACATTGTTGTGATAGGATTCAAAAATTGAAACATAAAAGTTTCCAGTTCAATCCGATTAGTCATTTGCCATTCTTATTAAGGTAGATACTCAGGACCCAAAATCTTCCCTGAAAGCTACAAACTCTATTTCTTATCTGACTTTTAGGTCATGAAAAATAGGATCTTATGTGGTAATGCTTTCTATTTTTCAAAGCACTGTTATCTCCTTCATCATATTGTATCCTTGCCTTATTATCCCCATGTTATAGACAAGGAAAATAAGGTTTGCAAAGGTCAACTCACTTCTCTGCATAAGTGGGACCTAGGGTAGGACCTACTTAAGCAGTTTGATCCTGATTTTCCAGATGGAAGATTTTGTTGATTAGAATACAGGTAAGGAATCTTTTAGGAAATCACTTTTTTTAATAAATTAAAATGGCTGCCGTTTTCCACCAGAACTGAGTTGGGCACTGTGATGTTAATGCAGAAAAAAGAGCCTCGCAGGTCTGAGGTGGAATTCCTCCAGTGGCCGGATGTTAGGGGTGCAGGGATCATATCATGGCTGAAACCAGCCACAGTAGTAGGTAGGCATGCAAGACTGGTTGAATTGTAACTCCTTGGAGTTAGGGTTCTTCTGTTTCATTAGGAAAATCGTGAGGCACTGTGTAGAATATTGATTCCTCTCCCAGGAGCTGATGGCTGCAGTGAAATTAATACCACAGAGATAACATGGAAGGACATTAAAAAAATACTTTTGCCCATGCACAGCCATTCCTCATTCTATCCATGCTACCCTACCTAAAAAGTTTTTAAAAAGAAAAAAAGTTCACCATGACCTGTGACCGTTCATGTGGCTTCTTTGTGTCATAGAGCTTAGCGAATGCCCCTTATTTGTATATCTCCTTTCCCACGTGTCCTGAATATTCTTCATATGTTTAAAAGTACTCATTTTAATTTAGTTGGAGAGATAGGTAAAAATTTCAGGCTGAGATAGGTAAAAATCCTGTAATCTTCTGTTTATGTGAAACTCTCAGGTTGTAGAATGTCTAGGGTTTTCATCTCAAGGGTATCTGGGAATTATTTGCTTTTTTTCTCTTGAAAAGCAATTTTCATTTAATCTTCCCTTATAGCCAATCTAAAGGAGCCCCCAAGTGACTCTTCCAGCCCACTCTATTTTGTTTCATCATAGCAGTTACCAGCATCTGCTGTTTTATTATTCATTCATTGCTTCTTTTTTTCTTTATCTCCCCCCACCCACTGCAAATGGCACGTGAGTGATGTCCTTGTCTTTCTTGTTCAGTGCTGCATCCCAGAGCCTCAGACAGAGGCTGGCCCACGGAGGAACTCACAGTTGGTTTGTTAAATTAATGGACTAATCCTGAAACTATTTTCTGATTTTTTTTTCTTTTATATTAAGATTGAAAAATTGACATCAACATGTTTTGCCCACTGAAACTCATCCTGATGCCAGTATTACTGGGTAAGTAGAAGCCAAGGGACCATGGCAGGGTGGGGAGAGTGGTATTTCATTTTTCGTAAGTCTCATACTCTTTCAAAAGCCAATTTTGTGTATTTTCACTTCCCTTTGCTTTGTTGAAAACAGACTCCCTAACCTGAACTTCATAGTTTTGCTAAAGCAGCTATTTTAGAAGCCATGTAGCAGACTCTTGGAAAGCTGAGTCTTCCTCTTCTCTAGTAGAAACAAAATGCCTTTGGGTTCTTACCGGGTGTTCTAGGACCCTGCTATGGGATACAAAAAAAAAAAAAACAACACCCCAAAACAAAACAAACAAAAAATCCTCTCTCTCTGGCATACCTGCACTTTAAATTGTCATCCTTGAAACCATAGCTAGTCTCAAATCAGGAAATGAAATTACCAAAGAAAGTCCCAGAATTCCTGTGATTGTTTTCATGCTTTAGCCACGCCAGCCTTTTTGTGGTTTCTCCAGTGCACTGAGCTCTTTCCCAATTTGGGGTGGTTTCTTTTGCCTGGAACCTTCTTTCCCCACCTTACCCTAGCAAGGCTGCCTAAGGCTTCCTTGTGCTTCAGGTTTTTCCTTAAGCCCCACTCCCTTCTAACCAGCTGCTCTGGCTGCCTCCTGAGACCAATCAGGTTGGAGTCTCCTGTTCATACATAACCTAAATGCTCCGGGCTGATTTTTGTTGCTCATTGCTCATTTTCACTTCTTTCTAACTTTTTCCTCCTCCCTTCTCTTTATTCCATGGATATATCTCTGTAAGAAGAATAAATTAATTAGGTACTTTGCTTTCATAGCTTTTTATTTTTCTCTTTATTAGTTTTTATTTTTATTTTTAACTGCACATGGTGACCTAAAAACTGACTCAGCAAAGTACACAAAAGAATTGCCTTTGCTGTAGTTCCAGGCAACATAAAGAGTGTGCGCATGCACACACACACACGCACACACACACACACACACACACACACACACACACACACACACACACACAGAAATGGTATGTATTAGAAATTAGAGAATTTTTTCCATGAATTTTTTTCATGATTTCACAGGGTATTTAGACATTTTCCCAGAGGTCTGTGAAGCAGTCTGCAGGTTTTTTCCCTTCTCTCCAGAGAGTTAACAATCCATCCCTCTATGTAGTGGCTTGGTGGCATCAAGTTTTATACTTCTTGTGGAGAGGTTTTCCTCCTTTAGAAAGTCTCATTTTCTTCAGCCGTTTCTCTATGAAGATTACCTGTTAGGCATAAGTTTCTTTTCACTTTGGTTGCTGCTCTTGCTTTTTTGCAAACCTCCACTTAATTCTACATATAACACAATTAATGTTAAATTAAATTAGCTTCTTATATCTTTAATCACAAGTAAGGTTGCTCAGCTCTTCCTGACAGGAAAATTCCAAATCGTTTTTGGAGCTAATTTTGATTTCTTTCAAAATAATTCCTTCCAAAGGGTTTAAAGTTCATGTTTTCTTTTGCGTCTTCCCTACCGTGTGTGCCTGCTGTTGGGCAGGAAGTTAACATTCTTCTCTCAGGGCAACAGCTTGGATGAAAAGACTGGCACAGTCTTTTCCCATATGTGTTCTTTCTATTTGGCTCTTCTTTGATGTAAACTGGCCAGCATCTAAACATGTTTTTCTTTATGTTGTTGTCTCCGCATAGAGCATATCTTGTGAAAACAGAAATATCTATGTAATGGTTTTCTCTTTTAGTGAAAAGAGTAATTACTTGAGCAATGTACAGATAGTAAGTAGAGTGGTACCATGTCTGCAAACACCTACAGGCTGAAAAGCCAGGGCTGTTGGTAAAGCTGGAGGGGATGTGGGGAGAAGGCAAATAAATACAAAGGGAATTCAAGGGAAGAGCTGTGCTCTGTATTGACCTAATTACAAGGACCTACACTACAGCCAGATCAGCGAGCAAACTCAGTGACAAGCTTTTGTAAAGGAACTAAAGAAAAAGAAAAGAGGAGGGAAGCAAATATACCTGTGAATTGGCTTGTTAGATAGGGAACTGGTAGGAAACTAAAAGCAAAAGACATCCCAGTTCCTGTTTGTGGGTGTCTAAATACACGATGTGAAAGGAGGGACCTCAGGGTTTCTCTTCATTGTTTAGAAAGGAGATTGGGGGGAGGAATTCTGGAAAAGGGGAAGAGACTAGCTAGGAGAATGGGACCCCAGTAGCATTTCTGTAGTGTGAAGATTGCAGAACCCCCTGATTTGAGCCATGTGAGTAACTAGGGGGTATTTTTCTTACCCTTGGGAATGCCATACTGGTTTGAGTGAAGGGCTTCTGTCTATATTGGATCTTCTGGGGAAGGAAGGTGTAGAGTACTTGGTGATGAATACTGATTTTTGTTGTTGAAGGTATTTGTCTAAATGATGTCTCCTCTTGCCTTTCACTTCTGTAGATTATTCATTGGGCCTGAAAGACTTGATTGTTCCCTCCCTTGAGCTAACAGTCCATGTGGGTAATTCAGCCCTGATGGGATGTGTTTTCGAGAGCACAGAAGAGAAACGTGTGCTCAAGGTAGACTGGATGTTCTCATCAGAGCACGTCAAGGTAAACCGGAGGAAGCGTTACTGTGTATTAGAAGCCCTTGGCCAATGGTGTCAGGACAGTGTGGGCAGAGTGAGAATTAGGTCTTCAGGTGCCGTGGGGTGGTGTTGCAAGAGCTTGGGCTCTAGAGCTTGTCAGCACTGGGCCTTTTCTGAGCCTGGGCTCTTGGCTGTGTCATCAGCTGGGCACGTTATTCAACCTTCCTGAGCTTCCGCTTCCCCATCTGCTAAGGAGGAGGTGAAGGTAATTACAATAATGGTCACGCTTAACTTTCAGGTCGTCTAGAAGCTAATGGGAGATATGCACAGAAAGTTCTTTTAGTCTCTTTTCTCAATTTCTGCCCTTTGTAGAGTAGCATTGGTTCGTGGGAGGGGTGAGATGGTGAGAGAGCATTGGTCAAGACCGAAGGGTTATGGCCTAAGCATTAGAATGATGTAACAGTAGTAGGTTTTCGGGGTGGAAGAGTAGGAGGGAAAGAGATTCTTGCAGCATTCTCCTGCTCCATTTATGTGCTGGGGAATCTGCTCTTTCTCTTTCACAGCTGCTTGATGTGTTGGGATTAGCCCATGCAGTGTGGTTGAGTAAAGATTTGATGGGAGAGCTCTTTGGAGCAGGAAACAGTGTATTAAGCCTCACCAGAGCTTTTGCAGAGATACTTACGTGTCAGGATCACTTGTGAAATATGTCCTAAATAATGTGTTATTAACAATAAAGTCCCAATGTTTGCAAATGAAATGTTGTTTCTGTAGTTCAGAACATGTTATCCCTATAATGCTACTCTCTCTCAAACTGTTATTATTGTTTATTATTATAAGAGGGATGTCCCCATGGTGTAAGTAGAAATAAGAATTCCCAGGGCTCCCCCTTCCAGCCCGTAAATCACTTCCTGTTGATGACTCCTTCCCATGCCTTATGATATATGCTGTCTAGAAGAGGGCTGTCAGGAAAGGAGTGGCAGCCAAAATTGCCGGTAATTCTCACAACAGCCAGCCACTGTGATTGTGTCATGCCTTTGAATGCCATCTAATCTGCGGGTGATGACAGAAGATGGGGTGAGGATAGGAGGTGGTTTTCAAAAGTTGTGAGTTTGACTCCCCAGAGGGGTTTTCAGAGTAGGTGTTACATTTTACCTTAAACTGTTAGAAATGAAAATGTGTAGACCATATTTCTCCATCTGTCTTTGTATAAATGAGCCACAGAGCCTTGTGCAAGTTAGAATATTGCTGGGCACATTATTATTATGAACTGGGTAACAAGTACATTTTGATCACAATGGTGATGATGACTATGCTGCCTCCACAGAACGGGGTCTTTTGAATTCAGACTCCTAGGTCTGGTGCCACTGACTTTAGATTTTCTCTGATGTTGTGTTACCCTCCAGGAAGAGTACGTGCTATACTATTACGCCAACCTCAGTGTGCCTGTGGGGCGCTTCATGAATCGTGTGTGCTTAGTGGGGGACATCTTACGCAAAGACGGTTCTCTCCTGCTCCAAAATGTGGAAGAGGCTGACCAGGGAACGTATACCTGTGAAATCCGTCTTGAAATGGAGAGCCGGGTGTTAAAAAAATCAGTGGTGCTGCATGTACTACCAGAGGAACCCAAAGGTACATGAATGCTTACTTAGAGAAGGAAGAAGGAACAAGAGGTTTGATGTGCAAAGAGGAAAGAGAACCGATTTTGTGACTAAATGCCAGTCTTTGGGCTAGGTACTTAACACAGAGTGAGTCCTCAATAAATAGTGCTCTTTAAATAAAAATAATGACGATCATTATTTTATTATTACTTTAAACACATTTCATCCTCTTGAAAATGCTGTGAAGGAAGTACAGTTCTTTTCATTTTACAGGTGAAGTAACTGAGGCCTAGAGAGGTTAAGTGACTAAGGACACTTATTTATTGAGCGTCATGTCTAGTAGTTGAACCTTGTCACCTCTGACAACAAAGTCCATGTTCTTTTTACCATACCCTGATACTTCCCATCAGTTATCCACATTGATGACATGTCCATATTTTATAGGTACCTATAGTAGGTGTTCTGGGGGATATAAAAGAAATGAGCAGATTCCTCTAACATCTTTGTTTCTCATTTTCCCATTTATAAATGGAAGGAGTGGTGTCAGTAGATTGGTGGTTTACAGACTGCTCTGTAGAACCCTTAAGGTCCAAGGAATGGGAGCGGTGGGTGGGGGGAGGGTATTGATAGATGAGCTAGTGAGGTAGGACCTCAGGCTTCCACCTCCACTGCGACCAAAGTCCTTTATCTTTTTCCTGTTTTATTCATTGGGCTTCCAGGTTAGTTTTTTTTGTTTGTTTGTTTGTTTTTAAGATTTTTATTGGGGAATTGGGGGGATGGGAACAGTGCTGGGGAATTAGGGGAAGGGGAACAGACAAGTTGCTGTCCTTTTGTTCTTCAATCTAGTTGTGGAGGACATTGCTTCACTGGCCCAAGTTGGCACCATCATTGCACTCTTCCAGGGTGAGGCAGATCAGTCGCCGGCTTCTGGACGGCTGGCTGCTCACTGCGGCTGCTGGCCGCTCACGCTGGCTGCTGGCCGCTCATGCTGGCTGCTGGCTACACACGGTAGCCCATGGCAACCCACTGCCACAGGGCCTGCATCCCACGCCGTCGCCAGCGACCCACGGCAGCCCAGCTCCAGGTTGAGCTGTTGTTCAGCATCTTAGCTGTGGAGGGCAGTGTAACTGGCCCTCGTATGTGGGATCCGAACCGGGGCCCTCTGGCATCCCAAGCGAGTTCTTAACCATCGCGCCACTCAGCTGGCCCATCCAGGTAAGATTTTGTGTGAAGGAAGACTTCTGCTGCTTTAAAAAAGTTTGAAAAGCAGAGAATTCAATACATTCTTTAAAAGTGTGAGATAGAAGGAAAGTCTATGGCCTCATGAGAGCTTGCAGTCTAGTTAGGGAACTAGAATCTGGACCTTCCTCTCCCTGCCACCTAGTTTAGGTCCACTCTTTTAATAAGCTCCGTTGGCGCACCCTGTCCTCCTCTTTGGTGATACTCATCACACCTGCTCAGTTGTGTCTTCCTGTTTGCTTGGATCTGTGTTCTTTGTCTCCTGACCAGCTCTGGGCACAGTGCCTGGCACAGAGTAAGCAATCAATAAACATTTGTTGAATGAATGAAATTCTTGAATTAGTGTTTCTCACTTGAATTTGATTTCTAAAAAAATGGAGTTTTAGAAGGAATTGTAGAAGGTAGGCTCTGGTTTCTCTCCTAATTTTTTCTACTTTTTTTCAATTGGCATTTTTCTTTTTATTTCAAAGCTATGGGTCTCTAGGAAGAGGAAATGAATCAGCTACCTCTGTTTCCAAGGATTATTTTGGGGCTAATCTGCCGTTCTGCTTTGTCCTCTGATGCCATGCCCAAACCCTTGTCCATACAAACATGGCCTACGAAATGGATGTCTTTTCCTGCTTGGAAGAGACACAGAGGGAACAAGCCAAAAGGAGCTGATTTGAAGAGTTGAATCTATGGAAAAAGGCTAGGGTGCTTGTATATTTCCCCAGTAACTGGTGGAACAACTTGTGTTTATTTTTTCCTCTAGCTAGAGTGGGAATAGATCCAACTCCTAACAATTCGCCTAGTGGCCAGTACAAAGTTATCCAACTTGCTTGCTGGAGGTTGTCTCCTCCCGTGTGAAAACCCCATTTGTGCAGTCATCTATAATTTTCTCTACAAAGTTTACCCTTCAGTTTATAATTTTTCTGATTCTACGACTTTCTTTTTATCATAGTTGTTATTTCAATACTGTAAACAATATTCTTGTAACTAAAAAGAATACTAACTTCCTGTACTTCTGCTCTGGAATCAGCCACTTATGTAAGGGGGTACAGTGTAGTGAGTGAGAAAGCTTGGGGTTTGTTTTCATTCAGGTCTGGGTTTGAGTTCTGGCTCTATGTTTTGCTGGCCTTGTGGCTTTGGTCTCTTTTTTACTTTCTTCCTCTGTAAAATGGGAGGGCAATAGTGCATATCTCAAAATATTGCAATGACTAGCGGATATACTATGTACAAGGTGCCAACATATGTCTGGTACATTGAAAGAACTCAGAAGGTTTAGTCATTACTATTACACTTAAAAAATAGAGTTCAGTTTTTAATGTGTTGATGGAATTAGAGGGCGTTTTCTTCTCTACTGGTATTCTTTGGAGTGAATTTTTATTACTTTCAAAACAATTCCCTTTATAGTTTCGAGCTCATAATATTTTCTTTTGCTTTCCTCCTATTATGCATTTCTCCTGCTGGGCAGGGAGTTAATGTTCTCCCAGGGAATCAATTTGGATGAAAAGGTCAGCTGATGCACTATGTTTGTTACTTCATGAGCTTTGCTTAATGCTCTTTGGAGGGAACTTTGTCCAGTTAAGACCTAGGTTTGTGTCTCCCTAAAATACCATCCTGCCTTTTATTTCTTAGTTGACTTTGTGGTTGATTTGTGTAGAGCATTATTGAAAAAAAATCAGAAACATCTAATTGGTTTTTTTTTCAAGGACCTCTTGAAAGGACTTATGCAGTAAACCTATGATGAGGTCAGCTGCATATACAAATAAGCAGAAGGAAGAGCCTCAGACTTAGAAAGCCAGAAGAAGGGGGAGAAGGATGGGGGGAAGTGGGGGCAGGGATAGAAACAATGAAAAGTCAGAGGAAAGCTGTCTATTGTCTTGGTCTAATTAGCAAGGAGTCCTGTGACCTGTTCTGTAGCCACAACTGTCCTAAGCAAGTCCTAAGACAACTTGTAAAAAGAATAAAAGAAGTTGAGGAATGTCACCCGTGATTCAGTTTTTCAGCTAGGAGAGCCAGGGGTTATATATAAGAATGAGAGGTATAGGGGTTGGCCAAGTTGCGCGTTGGTTAGGAGTTGGCTTGGGACGCCAGCTCTGAGCAGCAGGGCCCCGGTTTGGATCCCACATGAGGGCCAGTGACGCTGCGCCTCTACAGCTAAGATGCTGAACAACAGATCAAACTGGAGCTGGGCTGCCGTGAGTCGCCAATGATGGCAGCGGGCGTGAGCTTTCATGAGCTGCTGTGAGTGGCTGTGAGCGGCTGTCCAATGGCTGGCGTGTGACTGCCTCACCCAGGAAGAGTGCAATGATAATACCAACATGGGCCAGAGAAGCGATGTCCTCTACAACTAGACTGAAGAACCAAAGGACAGCAACTTGTCTGTTCCCCTTCCCCAATTTCCCAGGCTGTTCCCCTCCCCCAATTCCCCTGATAAAAATCTTAAAAAAAAAAGAATGAGAAGTACATAACTTTCCACTTCCTGTTTACGTTAAGCAGATGTGGGTATCTAAGTATGTGAACAGAAAGTGGTGGGCTTCAAGATTTTCTGTGCTTTCATTAGTATAAACTTGAAGTGGAGTTGGGGATCATGGGGAAAATTATGGAAAACAGAAGGGAGAAGGGAATTAAAGAGGACCAGAAAGTGTTTATTTTAGTATGAAGACAACAGGACCTCTCAGACTTGATGTATGTGGGTAACTAGAGAGTATTCTGTTACCCTCAGAGTGTCATGTTGGTTTGAGTGAGAGGCCTCTGAGTTCCTTGTCCATACAGGATCATCTGTGGAAGGAATGTGTCTAGTATTTGGTGTTAACATTTATTTTACTGTTGAAGATGTTTGGCTAAGCATTATGTCTTCTAGAAGTTCTTTGGCTTCTATAGATAATACCTTGGGCTTGACTTGATTTATCATTTTTTCCCCAGAGCTCGTGGTCAACATGGGTGATTCAGTTCAAATGGGATGTGTTTTCCAGAGCACAGAAGAGAAACGCATGACCAAGTTAGACTGGAGTTTCTCATCTGGGAAGCATGCCAAGGTAATGAAGAGGAGCCTTCACTGTGTGGTAGAAGCCCCTCACTGATGGTGTCAGGACAGTGAGCGAGAGGGAGAATCTAGGCACCAAGTGCCATGAGGTGGCATTGCAAGGGCTTGGCTTTGGATCTTGTCAGAACTGGGCCTTTTCCTAGCCTGGCCACTTGGCTGGGCAACTTTAGCTTCCTGAATGACTCTAATGAAGATGATGAAGATAATAAAGAAGGAGAAGGAGAAGAAAATGTATCACTTTTAGGGTAGTGTAGATGCATATATGAGATAGTCCATGTAAAGCATTTATACATGACTTGGCCACTGCATTTTAGTTTCCTTCCTCTTCTCACTTCTTCTCTTTGTAGAGTCCATGGGAGATTGAGGGGGATGATTTTTGTGGCCTAGCCAGGAAAGCTATGGGCTATACATAAGAATGATTACATTCTTATTCTTATTTGGGTTATTTTTCTGAGTTTTCTTCTGTGCTCCATTGCCCCATTTATGTGATGGAGGGAATTTCCTCGTGTCTCCATGGATGCTTCGAGTGCTGGGATTCGTAGATCCTGGGGGCCAGGGTGAGGAGTGTTTCATGGGAACTCTGAAGCAATAAATAGCAAGTTTGCTCACTAGACTGGTAGATGTCAACCGTGGCATGGTAATTCACTTATGGGTCAAGCTGTGTTGTGAAGGACATCCCAAGTAACTTATTGTTAATAAAAATTAAGGTGGAGAGTTCATGAAAGTTTTAGCTTTTATAAATAAAGACATATTCCAGATCATTCCTGTAAAAAAGTCATTTAAACTTACTTGATTCCTGTATGCTGTCTGAATGGGTCAGAAAGGGTGGTGTCATGGCGGATTATGGGGAATTATATGTAGTCCCAGGAACTTGTTATGCATTTAAATGTCATCCAACAAGTGAGACACAACAGAAAATAGGATGAGAATTGACATTTCGAGTTGTGAATTTGAGTCACAAGAGACAGGAGGTTAGGGGCTAGGTCTTTTTATTCATTTTTGTGTCTGTATACACATTCCTACTTCCTTTTCTTAAAAGCTTTTTTAAAAAAAGTAATGTTTACATCCCTTAATAAAAAAATTCCAACACTTATTCATTTAAGCATCTGCTATGCAATATAAGCCCCTGCCCGCATGGGGGACTTAACAATCAAGATGGAGGGCGATACACAGTAAAATAATGAAGAAATAAATACTAAATACATCAGGGAGTAATAAGAGCTATGGAGAACAAGAAAGCAGAATCTTGTGGCTATTTTAAATAGGTGGTCAGGGAGGCCTCACTGAAAAGGTGACATTTGAGCAGAGGTCTGAAGGAAGTGAGGGAACGAACCATATATATCTGGGAAGAAGAGTGTTCCAGGCATAAGGAGCAGCAAGCGCAAAGGCCCTGAGGCCAGTACTCAAGGAGCAGCAAGGAGGTCACTGCAGCTGGAGTGAAGTGACCCAAGTAGGTGAGGGAAGAGCAAATAGAAGATGAAATCAGAGAGGAAAAGGGGGTGGGGCAGATCACGTACTTTTGGTAGAAACTAGAGGGTTTTGAGCAGAGGAGTAACATGATTTAACTTATATTTCTAATGATTCATCTGCTGAGAATACATTGTATTTGGGAGTAAGTAGGGAGACAAGTAAGGAAGCTCCTTGCAGGAATCCAGATGAGAGATGGTGGCTTGGACCTGACTGGCAACCATGGAGGAAGGGAGAAGTGGCTAGATTTGGGATATATTTTGTAGATAAAGGTGGTAGGATTTGCTGAGGGGTTTTAGATGTGAGTTGTTCAAGAAAGAGAGGTGTTAAGGATAACTCCAAGATTTTTAGCCTAAGCATCTGGAAGGTGTTGCTATTTTACTAAGATGGAATTGACTAGAATAAACTGGTTTGGGGGGAAAATTTGGAGTTCTGTTTTAGTCATGTTTCAGATTTCCTCTTGGAAATCCAACTGGAAATGTCATAAAAAATAAAAGTATACTCTTTCTTCTTTTTATTGGAGAAGTGTAAAAAGTGAACGTCCTTCATTCCCACTTTCCTCGTCCCTCTCTTCAGATGGAACAGTTGTTCACAGTTTGTTAGCATCCTTCACAACTACACATGCCTGCACACAAGTGTGTGTTCATACCTTCTTCTTACCTAATACTTTCTGATAATACCGTTACTGCCTACACATTCAGGGCCTCTCAACCTTCCACATACTCCCCCGCCCCCAGTCTTTGCAATCTCATACATTTTGCCTTTCCCTTCTTCTAGGAGGAGATTGTGTTGCTCCATTACCCCAAATTCAACGTACCTGTGGGGTACCCCCAGAACTTTGGCCACTTCCAGAACCGTGTAAACCTGGTGGGGAACACTACTCACAATGATGGCTCCATCATGCTCCAAGGAGTGAAGGAGTCTGATGGAGGAATCTACACCTGCACTATCTACCTGGGGAACGCGACATTCAGGAAAACCATTGTGCTGAAAGTGAATTGGAAGGAGCCCAAAAGTATCTAACATTTGGTTAAAGAGGGATGAGGGATCTCCTAGCTGGTGGCCTGGCCAGGACTAGGGTGAACCCCGAAAGGCTTTTAGGGTACAGAATTTAAGGAGGCATCACTCTCAGGTGATGTACGACCCTAAGAGTGATGCTTCGTTAAATTTGGTGCCCTAGGCACCTTGGTTGCCTCACCCCAGTTCTGGCCCTGCTGGTAGGTTAAGGAAAAAGGAGCCAATTATAGTGAACACAAGCCCCCTGCCAGACCTCACTCATTGCCAATGCAATCTACCAATTTAAAGATACAGGAGCTCAGAGGTGAATTGGAGTTAATGTTCATAGGCATTTTTACTTAGCTTCAAAGGAGAGGCTGTATGCTCTGTAGTAGAAGGGAAAGTGATCCTGAGCTAGTGAGAGATAGCAAAGAACAGAGAGAAAACAGGAAGGGACCAGAACCAAAAATAGAGAGGGTTTCTGATCAAAGGTTCTGTATTCTGGCAAACACTGTGCATTGAGGCCAGTGTGTAGAAAAATAAAGACTCAATTGTTTTGACTGAGAGTTGTTGATATGTGAGGGGTTAAAGTTAAACCATAACCCAGTTAACAGTCAGGATGTGGCCTGTGGACTTTGCTTTTCACTAGGGTCCTCAGGGGTTGGCTGTGGTTGGTTGGGGGCAGGGATGGGGGTAAGGGTGGAACACACCTTAATCCCTTTGGCCAGAGACTTAAGTCTATGGAGGCACCTTCTTGTTAATAGCAAAGAGTCCCAGCTGGACCGGGAAGCAGGACAGATGGATTTTTTTACTCTCAGAAATCTTATCTCCATTTCACAGACAAAATGCATGCCATTAGTGGGAGCTCATTCAACTTCCAACCCCTCCCTACCCACAAACATTTCTATATCTACCCCCACCTTTATCTGGCTTGCTGTCCTGAGCTCCCTTCTGTTTGGGCTCATCTGAACCCCTGTGCTCAAGTGCATTCTCTTCTTCGTCTCAGAAACCTCACAACATGGCTCTTAAAGCCCTCACTTTCCATTGGCTTCTACCATTCAGCATATGAATATGCCCAACTCTTCTTACCTGTGTCTTTGTCTGTTTTAGCTCTCATCCTGTATCTTCTTTTTTCTTAAAATAACTTTATTGAGGTACAACTCACATACCATACAATTTTACCCATTTATAAAGTGTACAACTCAGTGGTTTTTAGTATGTTCAGAGTTGCGCAACCTTCACCACAGTCAATTGTGTATTTCTTTCTTGACATAGCCAAAAAGCTTGCTAAAGGGCTGTGTGGGGTGTATCCTGTCTCATCTCCCATTAACTCTTCAGTGCCCTGCGTTCTGGCTTCCACTTCTGCCTCTGCTCTAGCTTAGGTCACCAATGGTACTCTAATTGCATATCCTCAGCCTTCTTTACCTCAGCAGTATTGGGCACTATATTCTATATATATTCAATATATTCTATGATGGACACAATTTATCTGTCTTTATATATCTATATGAATCCACCCAAATATTCCACAAACACTTCAAATACAACATATCCAAACCTCCCCCCCACCCCCCATACCTCTTCCCAGCCTGTCTCCTCAACCTCAGTTAATGCCATCACCATCTATACACAGTTCATCTAACTGGGTGCCTGAAAGTTGTACTTGATTCTTTCCTTTCCTGTGACCCTGATCCAGCAGGTCAAGTCCTATCGTTTCTACTACTGAATTTGAATCTGCCTTCTTTCCAGTTTATTACCACCACTTTAGTTCTAGTTGTCTTTACTTCTGTCTTTGACTATAGGCCTCTAACTAGTCTCTGCTTTCATTCTCAGCTACTGCCCATTCTTCACGCAGCTATCAGTGCCATCTTTCTAAATCACAAATCTGGATTCGATTCCACTGCTTTTCATGTTTTAGTGGTTTCTTCATTGCCTACAGGGAATAAAAATAAAAGCCAAACTCCTGGTTGAGCTAATCAAGGTTCTTCATGACTTAGACCCTATTTTTTATCTAGCCTCATTCCCACCACACCCACCAATGCAACCTTTGCGCCAGACCCATGGAATTATTTCTAGTTTCTAAAAGCACCATCCTGTCAGGCTTCCAGACCTTGTGCATAATGTCCCTTCGGTCCTCCCCCATGTTGTCTACCCAGAAAACTTGATGTTTCCTTTAAGACTTAGGTTAAACTTTAGAACTTTTTTTTTCCTTCTAGCTGAGCCATCCTGCCACCTGTTGGCAGCTCAGCTTGTGCCGGGAATCGAACCGGCGACCCTGTTGCTCAGAGCTCACACTCTTGAGTGAGCTTTTAACCAACTGAGCCACTCGGCCGGCCCTAAACTTTAGAACTTTTTCTGACAAATTCTCATTTTCTGCTCTCCATGGAATTGGGTACCCTTTTCTCTGTGCCCCTCTGCTTTCTATATGGACTTCTATCACAGCACCCGTAGCAGCCTGTGGTTTTCTGTTTACATGTTTGTCCATCTCCTTGGAGGCAGGGACCATGCATTATTTGTTTGTATCTTCCATGTCTGGTGATATCTGGCCCCCAGGAGGTCTTTAGAGTGAATTGAGGAAATGAGTGAAGGGTACCATATGGGTGGAAGTGCTTCTGAAGGCCATGCTCGGTATCATGACCATAGGGCTGAGAGTAGATCCTTTGGAAAACAATCACTTTCCCATAGAAAGATCAGTAGCCTCTAAGATGTCTGGTGTTTCTATGACATTTGGAAATCACATTTTAAGATAGAATTCTTAATGTAAAAGGAAACTCTACTATAGGTGAGGTGTTATCCTCTTCTTCCACCCACCTTAATCTATATTTTAGGGATGAGCAAGGGGGTCAGACTTTGGTTCTCAATCTAATAGTGACAGCTGGAGTCCTAGTGTTCTAACATTGGGTGAGCCTGGCCTTCTCCCCCAACTTTCTGACCTGCTACTTGGTGTAGAACTGGTGGAGCTCTCAGCTCTTTTCTGGAATATTGAGGCCTTCATTGCTTTTCTCTTTTCCTAAGCACCAGTGACTCCAGTAGTTCACAGACCTGAGATCCTGGGTGGTGATCATCTGGTGACCATTGTGGGGATTGTTTGTGCCACTGTCCTGCTACTTCCTGTTCTGATATTGATCATTAAGAGGACCCACGGGAATAGGAGGTACAGTGTTTCTCTCATTTCTTGGGTTGGGAGGCTGGAGGTGCAGGACTGCCTCTAACCTGAAATGGAAGAGAGTGATAGGGCCCTAACTGCCATTTTCACAGAAGGGGGTATTTCAAAATAGAATCATCTGTCACATTAGACATCATCTGTATAGTGACCCCTGCCCCTTTGCTCCTGAAAGGCCTTTTACATTCCCATACCATCCTCTTTCGCTTTGGTGTTTTACAAAGATTACGAGCTCTTTTACAAAGGGTGGTCTAAATAGAGAATAATTAAGAGTATAAATCTTAAGCAAGAACTATAAATGTGCCATTCAATGCCTGAGATAAATGATTTTTGAATTATTTACAATATATGCTTCATATAGAAACTCACATCTTGAGGGCTGTCAGTGGCTTTCTTTAAAGGGCTACATTCTAATTATGATAGGCTATTTTTGAATGGATGCCCTCAAGTCCTAAGCTATTTATTGTTGAAATGTGTTTTTAAAAGCTTAAATTTCATCAGTAGATGTCCCAGTATCTCAAAAATGCTAGGTGCTCTGACATGGGCACTGGTGTTTCATTGATTGTTGGCAGATACATTCCTCAGTTTACCCAACTGTTGATGAAATATGTTGCTAGGGCAGATGGACTCTCGTTGAAATAGTGTTAATGGGAAAGAGCCCCCATGTGACTTTTGAGTGTCCTTTCCCTATGAAACATGGATTCTACAGAAAGTGCTTATGCCTTCCACATTTGTACTTCTACTTCCCAGGGGCTCTCTGACTTGGTTTTGAACTTAATTGGCTTCTCTGAGGGTCTTTGCTGTGATAGCGCTGCACCGAGAGTTAGACAACCTGGGTTTCAGATCAGCTCACTTCCTCCCCTCTGGGCCTCAGTTTTTCTCACAATGAAGAGCGGCACTTCCATGTCTACTCATTTATTCTAAAGAAATAATCATTATGATATGCTGAGATATGTGCATAAATATGGTCACTGGGGCATTGATTATAATTAAAAATTGAAATCATCCTCAGTGTCTGTCAGAAAAGTGATGATTCAAAGAATTAATATTGCATTCAATAAATTACCACATAACCCTGCATGTATGTGATGACATGGAAAGATGTCTAATTCTATATTATAAAATATTATAGTATGACTTCATGTTTATAAAAAATAAAATTATATAATACTTCAGCAGTATACATACTAAATATATTTTGTGTGCGTGTACTTGTGCTTGCATTGAGAGAGGTTTGGAAGGGTAATTCTTAAATATTAATAGTGGTATTTGGGATAAAGAAGAAGGTGGGGCCTGTGAGGGCAGGGGGTTTACTGGATCTTCCGCCTCCAACTGCCTATATTTCTATAGTATTTGAATTATTTTACAATGAGACTATACACCTTTATAATCAGAAAATACAATAAAAATATTTCTACTTTGAGACACAAAAAAACTACGGTTTCTTTTTTAGGTTTTAAAGCTCTACCTTAGGCGAAAATAGAAAAAAAAAAAATATATATATATTTACTCACAAATGCGGAAGGCAGATGGTCAAGATATCAAAGGCCAAGGTCCTGGAAGGGGCCAGGGCTCACTGTTTGGGATTTTTGTGGGGATAATTCAGCTTGGCCACCTACTGGGAGAGGCCAGGAGCCCTTTGAACTGGTGTCTCACTGAGCTGCTGCTGCCCCTGTTTGTCCAGCTACGTCTTCCCATGCCCCTCTCTGTTCATTCACTTAGCGTTGTTATAGACAGAAAGTTAGAGGGGTAATAGAGAAAGTGGAAGCTG